GATTTCTTGTGGCTGATTCCAGTCACTCTTTTAATTAGCGACCTGGACACAGGGATTAGAATTTAGGCTACTGAAGCTCACCGAAGGCAATACTTGAAGACATTGAGTCATCAGAGCAGGGCTGTAACTGCAGATTACTGAGTCCACCAAAAAAAAACCCAAATCAACATGATGCAGGCAAGTGTTGAGCACAGGGTTGCCCCTCACAGGCGTCACTAATTAGAGACAACTCAAGAGCTGGACTCCTCATCAGAAGAGCTGTATGGCAGCACTGCACTGGAAAGGAAAATACACTCATGACAGGTAGGAGGATGGTGGTTGGAGCACAGGTACCAACTTGTAACACTGGTGCATTACAATAGCCAGATTTCAGTTAAGTCAGCATTACAGATCCACCAACTGTCCTCAGCATGGACCCTCTCTAGTAAATACTGCAATTAGAGGAAACTCTCATTTAGACTCACATAAGAGCATGTTTACAGTGTCTGTTAGAATGGATGGCATGCTGAGGTTTGTGCTGTAGTGTGCACCTACATTCTCAAATACAAAAAAATAAATCCCCAGTGCTGCAGATTACACCAGGCACAGCCGGTCTTCCACACCAGAGACCGCTCCAGGAGCAGTTCTGAAGCAGAGACTGAGCCTGGCCACCCCCCACTCAAATGCTACCCCCATCTCTTTCCTCCTAGCAAGGTGCTTTTTTGGTGGTAAATGCAAACAGAGCAGCACACTTTCCCTCACTGTGTTGTTCTAGGTGTCAAACACAAGAATGCTCCTAAGCAGCCCAAAATAAAAAATGCACTAGTCAACCTTGCGGTGCAGAGTAAGCCAAGCAATAACCACAAATAATAAATAACTTTATTAAAGATTTACAGTTTCAGATGTTTCTGTATAGAACAGCTTCTTCCACATTACATTTTAGAACACCGGCTTGTATAGCAAAGTAACCTGTAATGAACTTCAGCCTCCTTCCACTTTAAAACTGAAGTATGTACTTGTTTTATTGATTATATGTATGTATCATGGGGTTTTTAATCTCAGTAAATCATGGGGGGGGGGGGGGGGGGGGTGGGGGTGGGTGGAAATCTAACTTGTCAGATGAATACTCTTTTCTGTTAAATAGCAGCAGCTCCCAAACCAAAGATTTCTTCTAAAGTTACAACATTAACAACTTTTCTGCAGTTTTTCACTGGGAAGTTCAAGTGACATACCTAGAAGATGCTTCCATGGCCTTATAGTCTCAGTAACATTAACTGCAAAATCAATGTTGTCTTCAGTGTATAGAAGATCAGGCCCTAGAGTTGTACTCTTACTTTTGAAGGAGAGTATAAGATTCAGGGTTCTGGCAGGTGTGACTTTGTTACCACACAGTTCCAACCCGTCCTTCCATCAGGAGTTGCTACTATGCCCTTACCACCCCCTTACCTTGCCCACATGTGGAGTAGTTCAACAGCATAGATTTATTGCCACTAGTGTTTGCTATAATAACAGGAAGAGACTACTGCATTAAACAAGTAAGTAAACAACTGTCTTGCCCCTGCCAGAGTTCAGTAAAAGTATTTTTGATTATTTTTTGCACTTCAATAAGTATATAATTAAATAATTCACAGAATCTGCAGAAAGATTAAATATGATTTAGAGGCCATTTGCTTTTTGGCCAAACAAATATTAACTTACTAGACCTATTTTATCATACGAATAGTGCCTTTTTAAGGCTATATCGTAATGTTTTAGCCTTGAAATATATGCTAATGCTGTAATGTTATAGTCTACAGAAATTATTTGTGATACAACATGGGGATCAATTCTGTGTGACAAAACAGTATATGAACTCAACACTTGTGATACAAAGACCTGTCCTCACCTCAGTCACACAATTGGCTTTTCTCTAGAACATTGGACTCTTTAACCAAACAATACCACCATAAGATGAAGTGTCAGATTTAAGATCATCCTACATTTGCTAAAACAGGACACCCAAGAATAGAAACATGTTTCATCTCAGCTAAGGGGAAATGGTTTCCTGTATTCAGGGCTCTTTTAGCTTTTTAGGACAGAAGAAATGGTGTGATCATTCATTATCCAGTTAATGAACTGCCAACTCAACCAGTTTCTCCCATGTATCTTTCTGGTCAATAACTAGTAGTTACAGCTGTGGTTTAGGCCACAGCAGTATTGTTACAGCATAATTAAAAGCTACTACAGGGAATCTTCAAGAAAATGGGCCACCTCCGAAGGAAATATTCAAAGGATCAGAAATACAAAACCAACAGTCTATGCACAGAAGAGATGCAAGCACAGCTTTTAAACATAAGAACACTGATAAAACTAAAACTGATAAAATTTAAGTATTTGTTATTTTACTATTTCACTTTTCTTCATGCTAAAGCAAGGTAAATTTGGGGATTCTATAACAGATTACAGTATGATTTTAAGGATAGGTAGATATAATGGCTATAGTGTATTCAAATTGCTGTGTCACCTAGAAAAATCAGTAATTATTTCAGCCACATATAATAAAAAGAGAATTTACTTTCTGTGTAAGTTAGAGCGTGGGGGAAAAAATAGTTGCCTTACCAGGCTTAATAAGAAGCCTAAGACTGGTATAGATGTAGCAGAAAAATTTTGCTAATCAAAGCATTTTTTTAATTTTCTTTTTTAAACAGAATTAGTGATAGCCCGTTAAAGTGCTTGTCAATAGAAAATTGTTGTATTTTTAATTTATTGAAACTGGATAGTTTGACCAAGGATCTGAAGTTTTAAAGAACATTCAGTTGTCAAAAGATTAGAGTAGTAAGGCACGCTAATACTTATTAAAACAAAAAACAGAGATTGGTCATATATATGTGTATACTTATATGAACATAAGCAATGCAGCACCGTTATCTTCTCTGAAGAAACTCCATTCAAATGGAGAATGGAAGCAATTTATTTTTTGCTGCTTCTGATGGGGACATGTGTTCCTTTCACACTGAGATTCTCCAAGGAACCTCTGGGCTCCCTGGAACCTGCAATTGCCCGTGGTTTCTCTCTGAAACAAAAGCCAACAAAAATCACAACCACCATACAATATGGGGATGGGGGAATGCATATTTTGTTAGTTACTTAAGTGGAGATAGAATCAAATCTGTCTTACAACTAACTATATCTCCAAAACTCCTTCCATTGTTACCACCATAGGGTTGGACTGATTCCTCATCTTGCACAACCAATGAGAAGAATGAACCAGCTTAGTTTGAAAACTGAAACTGAAGGTAGTCTTTGTAATAAACCTCTAGAATTGGTGGGGTGCCACAGGCAAAGTGCTCTGTGTAGTTTACTGAAGAGGACCATCTTCCTTCTGTAGCATTCGCTACCAAACATGCAGCTGATGAAGGCAAGACAACTCGCACTGACACTATTTGTCAGTAGGAGAGAGGAAAAATCTGAAGCTTAGCAGACAGCAGTTTATGCAGGGGAGCTCCTGCATTTACTGATACAGTCCTCATTTCTACACATACTTCCCAATTTTAAGATTAGGAGAGGCCTCATTTGGAATCTAACCCTGAAAAGAGGGGTGTGTTTGTCTCCAAGTACATGGAAAACATCTTCCCTTTTACCCAAGAGTAGAGATCAGCCTTGCCCTCAATAAGGATTATACCGTAAAGCAGATCACTCAGTTTAATGACTGTGTGGACAGCTACAACATTCGTGCATAGTTGAGCTAAGAGCATTGGCCTATTTCTCTAGAGAAAACACCATTCTATCCTATCAATTTATTAAGAGGTTTTCCAAGTCAAATATACTAAATCTCTTCAGAACTTAGTTACAAAATACTGCCTTACACTGTTTGTTGTGGCACCATGAGAAAAGGAGGAATAAACCACTATTTTTTGTCCAATTGCCAACAACATTGTTTGCACATGAACAGACTGCTTCAGAATTCAATTTTCATTCTGCTGCTAGTATTTCCTTATTCTGGTAGGTAGCAAACTCTTTTTACCTTCTTAATCCATCTCCCTTGGGTATGTGATGAGTACTACTGTATTTTGGAGCTTCTAAAGTGCATCTGGTTCTAGATGGCCTGAACTTCATAATCTCTTTCTGCCACTCTTCATCAAAGGTCTGGGCCTCATCTGAAAAACAGTTAGAGTTCACATTTTAATAAATGCTAACAAGGTAGGGGAAAAAAAATGTGTATAGAAAATTAGGAGGTTTGAACAGTGTTCTTAAATTTGTGGTCCATGATTCTCCACATGGCCCTCAAACAATTTCTAGGGGATCTGTAAAAGACTACTAAAAGCTTACTGCCAGTAGGCCTATGTTTGGAAGATACTGGGGAAAAAAAAAAAAAAAAACCAACCAAAACCAACCAAACAACACTGTTGTAAAAGTACATGCACATTTTAACCACACATCTGAAACAGGCATTAGCCACCAACACACAGCAAATAGTAGAATTCTGTTAAAAGTTCGTTTGAAACCATAAAATATTATTAGAAGTACTTTCAAATACAAGCAGCTATTGTGCAGGCAAACAATACCAATTGCATTACAACACATTTTCAAGTATAAATGGCCACCATAACCACAGTTGTCCAAATTTAGATCAGCTAAGGAAACCTGCAGACTCTCAGTCTGTCTGAAAAAAGTTCCTTCTAAGATGTCTCAAGCTGGAACTTCAAAATTGGTATGTGAAACAACACATGTAAAGCCCATTAGGGAACTGCATGAAGGAGACATACTTTCATCCAAGTTGATGAATTCTTGGTTCATTTCTTCATCACCAGTCTTGCTGTTCTTTGATTTTTTAATGACATGAGCACGATCATTAATGTGATGACCAATAGCCATTTTTTCCAGCCCACTTTCAGAATCCTTAAGTGCTTTTCTTGTCTCCTTAACCTGTACAAAAAAAGGAAGTAAGTGTCCTTCCAACCAAAAAAAGGTTAAAAAAAATTTAATTAAAAAAATAAATTAAAAAAATATTTCTTCCCCAAAGGGTTTATATCTTTCTTTTGAAAAAGTTAGGTTTTACAGGCTTTTCCAATTTACTGTGTTGGCTGAAAATACACCAATGCACAGATCAAGTCTATTTTCTTCTTGCCAACAGACAGGAAGATTAAACAAGAACTCCTAAAGCTTCTTGAGGAACGTACATACTGGATATTAATGGGGGGGGGAGGGGAGGAGGGGAGGAAGCCCAATCTATATATACTACACACAGACAAGTCTTCAACATTCTCCTTGGCAACAGAAGGAATAATAGCCGATGCCAATATTCTTAGCATGAAGGGACAACTAATTACTAGGTTGTCATGTTGACTGGCTTGAAACCCAGGCGACCATTTATCACTGTGTTCATAGGTATATTATTAGAACCTTTTTGATAACCAAGTGTCTGCTTGAGCTTGAACATATCCCACAGCCAGTCATGCTCAACAGTCTTTACTGCTCACATATAGTCTTTCACGAACCTTGCTTCAGGGTTCAAATTCAAATTTCTTAGCAGAATTAGATGCAACAGCTGCAAGGAAGTCAATGAAAGGGCATCCTCATCTGAAGCATTACATAAGCATTTAAAAGAGCTTGAGTAACGGGGATGACCTGAAGCCATGTTTTGCATAAATAGGCAGCTTCTTGCTGTCTTATATTTTGGACAAAATTTTAATTGTACAAGAGGATTAATTGTAGTAAAGAGAAAGACATTGGAGACCACCTTGAAGAATCAGCTGTTCTGGCACTCATTTTTTTCAGTCTGATAGACGTACAACTTATTTAGATGTATACTCAGAAGCATACAGATTACAAGGAAGAAGACAGCGCTTCAGCTTAAGAAGCCTTTAATATAGAGCAGTATTTAAAAAGACATATGTTTTTCTAAACTATATGAGTAACTGTCTCCAGGAAAAAGAACCTTAAGGAAATTGCAGTCTGACGTAGATGAAATTCTGGTAATTACATACCACCTTTTTGCTGGATCTCAGGACTACTTACACCTCCTGGAGCTGTGCGTGTCTGAGATGAAGCCTGGAAAACTTTTGGTGGTTCATCCCCTACTTTGGAGTATGTCATCACAGAGGAGGAGCTGAATGTGTGTGCATCTGGATGGATGGACAGGTCATCCTACAAGCAATATAGACTTCTTATTAATAAAAAAATGAAACTTGTGGATAATAGTACTTAAATTCCGAGACTATCTCATTGTGAAAAGAATACCCCTCTGAAAAATTAACCCTCAGTCCTGGCACCACAGATGCAGCCTGTTTGGAAGAGACCTCAGCATCTGATATACCCTCACTCTTGTCCTAGCTTTGTCTGGCCACAGGTCTCCCATGCCAGGGAACATGGCAACAAAGCCTGGGCAGCAATAAACAACTGCTCGAACGTTTGCCCTGGCACAGTTTAGTAACGGCGATATATAACCTGTAACATCAGTCTTGCCACATACAATATATAAGATGCGTAAAGAGTTCAGGTGAAATAGGACTTGAGCAACAATGGTTACAAGCCATTTTATGAGGCCAATAAGACACAGTAAATTTACTGAGCAACGCTTTAATAGATACCAGTGTGATCTTCAAAGACTGTAGAGAAAGAAGAAAGAAGCAGCACTGCAAATAAAATCGGAGAAAAGTCTATACGCAGGGTGACATTTAGTCTTTGTGGTTTTTGTTTTTAAGTGTACAGTAACACTTTAAATTGCTCCTTTGCTTAAGGTGTCAGCTCTAGCAACAGCCAGTGACCAGATAACTTATAGCAGTTCTAACCCCTAGAAAAATCAAGCATATGATTAAAGTATTGTTGTTAGCAAATAATCAATGACAGCATAAAGAATTATAACCATGATATAGTCTGGGGAGAAAATTTTAAATTCCTACTGTTTGAGACTAGTAACCTTTTTCTTGGCAGGACTTTCTGAGTAGTATTTTAAATAGCTGTTCTTCTCCAAGACAATTGATCTTAGAACAATTTTTAATTAGAAAAAAACCCAAAAACTTACAAATTTTCTTTGCATTTCCAGCATACTGTTTCTCATATTTGACATCATCCTGTCCATTGCAAAAAAAGGCTCCCCAAAATCTGCATCCTGAAAAGACATTAAGATTAAAATACAGTCTTCCAGCTCCTCAAGTTCTGAAGCTGTTTTCGCGTGCATTTTTTAATGCAAATAAGACCATCAGAAAGGTTTTCAAAAGCTGCAATTCATAGACATAGACAAGCCAAAATGCATCTTTTCAAATAAAAAAAATTGTAAGCTAACAGGGGGAGCTTGGTTGTTAAGTTGGAGACACTGGAAAGACAGAAGTGAAAGATTTGACACCTGAATGTGAAAATAAGCTCATACTGTAGCCAGTTTACAAGAACTATTTTCAAATACCTTCTAACCTAACTGGCTTCTGCTGTAAAAAGGACAGTCTGACGCTCCATGCCTTATAATCCACTGAAGATCAAATTATCTCTATTATGTAAATCCCTTAGTGCATATGGAGTCACACTGAAAATGTATCTCACCAGACATAGCTGTTCCTTTGCAGTGTACATTACTCATAAAGAGGCAGTGGGGAAAAAACAGAGTCATAACTTGATATTCTAATAGCATCTTAATTACTTGATGCTATAGATGTATTCAACAAAACATTCATTTGTTATTTTTACATGAAGGCAGAAGATCCAGTGTTGCACAAAGGATAGACAGTAAGACAGGTTTACATGCACAGAATTTTATTAATAGGACCTGATGGCATATACTGATGAAAGCTATCTTTGGAAAAAAACAAAACCAACCAACCAACCAAACCAACCAACAAAAAAAAAAAAAATAAAAATAAATAAATAAAAAAAAAATACAGGGAGACAGAAAGCAGGGAAAGGGTGAACTCTCCTAAGTGACCATCTGGGAAGACAGCAATGCTGTCCCAAAGGAGCATCATCCTCTGGGCTCCTCTCCAGTGCAGCAGGTGGTGATGATAAAGATGATTTTCATCATGCCTTTCCTACTACAAGCTTTTCCTCAAGACCAGTTCAAATTCCCTACTGGGCCCCCTGGTTTCCAACAGGAGCAGCTCTGGCTGGAGCATGCTAGTTAAGAGCAAACACCACACACTGGTGGGTTGGTAAGTTTAGGCACATGTACACCTAGCTGCTTCCCAGGACAGCTGCTGTGCCACCACTACGCTCTGGTCCAGACGTAGGAGGCTATGAGAAGAGCAGGGAAAACAGCTCCCACGAGCTCTGCAAAACCCAGCAGCTTTGTCAAAGTCTGGCTGCCGGGCTGCACGTAGCAGCCCTTTGCACCACTGAGGTGCTTTGAAACACCAGGATGCGAATTATAATAGCAAACACCCCACGTTCCTCTAACTACTGGAAATATATAAATTGAATTGAAGAGTTTAAAAATAAAACCTGCAGCTTAAGCACAGAACTAAGTAAAATCAGATGCAGAAAATATTTTTGTATTGAGTAGGAAGAAATCTGAATCATTAAAGGGCTACCAAAACCTCTGTCAGTACTGACAGACAATTTAGGGCATCAAATCATTGCAAGTGTCAGTAACTCCAGAAAACTGCCTTCTACAGTTAGAAATCTGGGTGTTCACCAGTGCCATTGCCTAGTAATCAGCTGTACCTACGGAACTACATGCCATAGATTACAGCAGGAGGGTAAAACCATAGTCTGTAGCAAAAGAACTTTCATTAGCTAATACACTTTTTGCATAAAGCAAGATGCAAATTTGTGCCTTCATAGTGTAATACTTGTATCTTTAGATCGTAAAGTCAGAGACCCGTGCTTATTTTTGTCTGCTCTGCAAGTGAGAGCCACTCTCTAAACTACTGGGGTTCAATCTGAGGACTCTTTAAAGCCTTCCAAAGGCAGTGGTCAGTTTGGAGTCTCTCTCCAGGGATTATTTCCTTCACATCCATTGGAGATTAAGTACAAACAGGTACATCACTGAGTAGAAAAGCCAGCTGCTAAGCAATAACTTTCGAATCTAGGTATTAGCATATTTAGTCTACCCCAGCATTTTCATTTAATAAGAATAAAAAAAAAAAAAAAACAAAACAAACTTTCTTGAATTATACTGTTCCATGTATGTAAACACCAACAAAAGCAGTTTGCAAGCACACCCAGACTTGCCTTTGTCCATGCTTTAGTTATGCAGACAGTATACATGTACTAGCAAGAACTACAAGGATTATTGCTCCAGGGATACTAACCACTCTACCAAAGCCTGCAAAGGGCATGAGGGCACAGCTTGTTGCCTGGAAGAAAAAGGACCAGCATCTTTCAGTTATTATACCTGTTATCAGACAGCAGAAGTAACTTTCATATACAGCAGCTAATATTAATCATTTTCACTCAAATAAAAACAGTCAGTCAAGACAACCTTGGTAATTTATAGTGTGCTGTGACAATACAATATGAAGTAGTCTCTGGGTATATAGAAGGTAATAAATTTACACTAATGATATTGGAAAGCAATAGCTACCACCACATTTAGTAAGTCCTATTCACATGTATGTACCAGAAGCACTTAAAGGTAGAAGCTGAGAAACATTTGTATACCATAGCAACCTTTGTGCCAAAATTATTTAAAACATGGCACAGTGCTTCAGATATCACCCACTTCTCTGACAACACTCCTTTCTAGTCATGCAATAGAACCCTGCTGCTGACAGTTGAGTAAAATCAACAAATCAATAGTCCCCTTAATGTAATTAAATTTTAGAAGGTTGTCATACGATTTTAGAGATTAAAAAAAAATTAAGTGGTGCAGCTGTTCACAAGCACTCTTTATATATTACAACTGATCAATGCAAATAGAAAGATATTTCTTTAAAATATCTATACATTCCTTATGATCAAATGAAGTCTAACTTCGGCAGTTAAGTCAGCAGTTTCTGAGATCATTGCAAAGAAATTCCAGTTAAATCTATCATCAGATACAGAACTCCCTGAAGACAAATCCCCACAAGCAAATTATATTCTTCTACAGTTGTATAAATAGATGTAGCTATAAACACCAACAAATATAGTTCCTGTTTCACCAACTGATATTGAATATCCCTATATGACAGGTCAATGAGATGCTGGACAACACATTGATGTTTCCAGGAAACTAAGATTGGAGAGTTACATAAAAGCCACCTAAAGAAAGAATGATTAAACAGAGTACCAAACACTTCACAGTAACTTTTAAGTACAAAAGGAATTGCCCGATTCTTGGAGTACCTTTATGAACTTTTACATATTTCAGTTCTGTGCAGTATGTATGGAAAGAATAACATGTTTTATACATATATATAATCAAGTGCAAAAGGATATCCTCAGAAATAATTAAGTTTATAAACTTTGGTTTATAATACATGCTAGAAGCTGCTAAATAGTTGCCTAACATATACAACCATCAGACACCGTAACAAAACCAAATGACATTATCTTTTAAGATGTTTTACCCCATTCATTCTCCTAAAAACTGACACTGCAAACTTGCTTGAAAAAGGAAAAGCATGTTGAAATTTGAATGTTATCCTGACACACATCATGTTGTTGCAACAAGTTCTGTTCATCATAAAGCAGTTTTAGACATGGTACAGTTTACTTAAATATAGAATGACAATATCAATAATCAATATGGGTAATTTTAACAAAATGTATTTTACATGGTAGTAAAGATACCCATTTTTCCTACACAAAACTAATTATTAAGTATGAGTCACTTCCAGAGGGAAACCAGTAAAAGCGGTTTGAAACTACTACAATGCTCAAGTAATCAGTGCCAAGCCTTCTGTGACACCTGACAGCTCTGAGGTGAAACATGAGGAACATCAAAAGATACTGGAAAGATTTTAGCAGGTGTGGAATTCTTCTGTGCTTATCAAAATAACACAGTGCTCTTGTGCCTTTAACTTCTTTCTGTAACCATAGATAAAGGTTTTCTATGTCTCCCATCTGTCCCTCGCCACCAAGTACAAGGGACACAAACTCCTAAGCTATTAGGATAAGGTTTAATATATCCTTTTTCTAAAGGAAAAAAGAAGTCTGATCTGGTTTTAGGTATCTACTGAACCAAGGCCTAAGAATCTGCTTCAGTAGAGGAAAGATCATGCCCTAATTAGATCCAGCAGCATCTATATTTGAAACTAACTGTCAATGTATAAGCACAGAGGAAAGAATCTGACAGTTACCCTTTTGACTTGCAGGTGATAGTCTGTGTTTCAGCTGTGCTTATTAAGCTCTAACTATCTAGGTTTGAACAATCACCACCAAATTTGGCCAAGTTCCACAAGCCCTCGTAATGAGTCTTGTCTTCCAACTTTTTTTTTTCCGGGGGTGGGGGGAGAAGGGGGAGGTTTGGGGTTTTTTTGATGGTTTTGGTTTTTATTTTAGTTGAATGTGATTCACTAAAGTAAGAGATCGTTCAGCTGCAAAATATTTAGCTTGGTGGAGGGAAAGGAACCAACTTCCAACATATATCGTTTCTAAATACAGCAATTAGATAAGGTTTAACTACAGAAGCATAAGACCGAATTGTCCTGCATGCCAAAGAGTTGAAAAAACTACTTTGTGCAAAACACATAAAATACCAGCTGAAACTGCCAACTTCCCAGTTTCAGCTGGTAATTTATAGAAATACTAGATTTCATTGCAATTTCTCTGATCGCAAGTGGCTGAAACACAGGTTTTTGTTAAACTAACATGAGTAACTAGACACAAGATATTAAGTTGCAGAGTGAAGGCATAAATGTATCAAGGTACCTTTTTAAGAAAGTTAGAATAAAAAGGAAGAGTTCAGAGGAGGCTCTGTTGCTGGACATTTTTAATGCCTTTCTGTAACAGAAAGATTTAATACATAATATTTATTAAAACACTCGTTTGATAAGTATGTTTAGTTTGTTTCATTAAATACTGTATATTCAATGTGCAATAATATACAGACTTGTCATTAGTCCTAACAGAAGCTTGTCAGTGTTAAGTAACAGGCCATTAAGGAACCAAGAGAGATTATTCACGTATTAGTCAGCAATGAAACAATCTGACCAAGGTTGTAAGAGCTGAGCCAGGCCCCTGTTTCCACTGGACCAAATTTAACAGAAATGGAAATGTCAAGCCAACTATATTACCAATAAATGTAAATTCCATGTAGCAATCCTCAGAGATTAAGAAAATACTTACTGTGCGATTTCCTCTTAGAGCAACCTGAGAGTCCTGGCGTGCTCTTCGACCTACTGTTCTCTCCTCACCATCTGTTACACTGAGAAATGGATCTCGTCCAAAAGGATCAGAAAAGCTTCTCATCATCTGCCGCATATATTCATGGTGTGCAGCGAAAGGATCTCTGAGAAAGAGATATTGTGCACAGAAAGTCATCAGGTTTTATTCCAAGCTATGGAAAATTGCTCCAAAAGTTTTAAAACTCCATTTTATTAATCATACCATATGGTCCTTTATTCAAATTCTTACTCTAATAGGACCCGACTGGGCAATCTCTTGTTTCTCACAAACTCGTACTTCTTTCACTTTTCTTCCCATCTCTCACATTGATTGGGTGTTCTAGTTCTTTTATCTTCTCAGCTGCCTTCATCACTCTCCTATACTCTTGTGTGTCCTATTGCTCTCTTTCCTCACCTTTTCCAAAAAAATATTCCAGCCTTTGCAGTCATCTTTCCCTCCAGCCTATGTTTACCATCTGCCAAAAACTATAAAACTGACCTGTTTTATTTATCACTACTTCTACCTCCAACCCCTGATATTAAAAGATTTTTTTTCTCCTGTCTTTTTCTAACTTTAATCTCTCAAAGCTTATCATGGTACTACTCACTGAACTCATTATATCCCACTAGATTTCATCTCCCCCATCCCTCCAACTTATTTTGCTGGCCACTTCCATTCTACTTTTCATCCTCCTTGACCACATGCTCAAAAATGTATACAATCCTCTAAATTCAAGCCAGCTCCATCTCCTTTACTTTAGTCACCCACTGCTGTATCCCTTTTCTCCCTCTCCATAAATCATGTTCTCACGCCCCTTTTCTCTGCGTAGGAAGAAAGATTCTTACTGGCTTTTTGCTTTCTTAATAGTTTTCTCCCTCTTCCCTCCTCTCTAAATCTCAGCCTCTATTTCCAGAAACCTGTAGGTTTTTAAAACCTCCCAAGTAATCCCAAAGGTTGGCTTGCAGGTAGAACACTGCTCAAGTTGCTCTCCATTACTACTTACTTAATTCTTTGCTCTCTCTAATTCTACTTTGGGCAAGAACTAAATATTTCTAACTGAGGCTGAAAAAGGATCAAAATATGATTTTGTCAGAAGCGCAACACCTGATGAGTACTGCTGCCTGTGGTCCAAGGCTACAAATTATTACTTCAAACAAAAAACACACGTGATTTCCTCCTTTCGCCTCCAGTCTAATTTCCCCCTTTGCTATTCTGCTGAAAGCCATTTTATTAACAATCACTACCCAGGTATGTTTACATAGATTTAACAGCACCTCATCTTCCTTCCTATCAATTTCCTGGCACTCCCCAAACAGCTTGCACCCTCATTCTCTCCAGGGCACCACAGTCTTTCCAGTAAAATCTCCTGCCTCGATGAAGAAAAGCTTCAGGTTGTTCCTGTTGACTTCAACAGCCAATCATCTCTTGCAAGTCTCTTGAACTGCTTTTCTGTTCTCCCCTCCCCTTATCTCCAGTCCCATGAAAACTAGTTTCCAACACCACGTTGCCACTTTGATCTCTTCACTATATACTCTCTTTTTGTGCCAGAGTTGCACTGAAAGGTGCAAAGAAATTGGGCTACAAATGTAATGCTGGATTAATTTTCAAACAAGATTTTTTAACACAACAATATCCCTTTAAGCTATGCCCATACTTAACTCACTGCAGCGCAGTGAGTTTAGAAGTAGTTTTAACCATTGTCGTTAAGCAGACCCTAATCTGCACCACTCACATGACAACTAGCTTTAACTTCGGCCCTAATGTGATAAGCAACTTCCACACAGCAAGTGTCCCCTCACGTTTCACAGGATGAAGAACAGATGGAAAAAAGTCACTGCATGAGCCAAGATAGGGGAAGCACACAAGCACTACACTGCAGTGTACATGTACTTCCAGCAAATTTCTTCTGACACCACAAACTTCACATAGGTTCGGTTATCAAAACTCAAACTGTATTCCATCAGTAATGTATACATAACAAAATTTCTCCCCAGTCCCTTCCAGTTCAAAAGGACACTCACCTACAACACATCATAAGCAAAACAAGATTCCATGGACTGAACATAGATAAGAAAACTTGGTTTAATTTAACGCATATAACATACTGTAATACATCTCACCTGACAAAATAACGCTTCATACACCTTGTAAAATTGTCCTTTTTGCATTATTTCAGTTTCTCTGGCAATTTGTCTTGGTCATTCACCCTCCACTACATCCAACTGACACACTCATACCTGCATCTAAAACTGCGGGGGGTTTTTTGTTGTTTTTTAAAAAAATTGAAGGTCTATGAAACAATTTAAAAATACAGCTTCTTACTGTCAGAGACAGGGAAGTAAAATACATACTGTGACAGATTTAGGAACAGAAATGAAGCCTTCCAATTCCCCAGGGACATTTTAGGGAGCTATTCATAAAAAGATCTAGTGTTGTCAAGCCTTGAAACAAATGCTACAATTTTGATATGCTCTGGAGTAGGGTAAAACCAATGGAAAGTCAACAGAGAATCTGTCTGGAAAACATACGTCCCAGTACAGTGGAAGTCAGCATATGTTTCTGGTCAGTTTAAAAAAAGTGTCCTAGAACTTCAGTTTATTATTTTTCAAAACTGTCCTTTCTATTAGAAACATTTTATTTGTTTGTTTATTTAGGAATGTATATAAACCTGAAGCTGTGGAACCACACTGGAGGTAACACCTGGTAGAATAAAACAAAAGCTGTGTGTTGATGAATTAAAAACAGAGGCCAGCTGCACTTGGCAGAGAAGATGCAGCTTCTGCACCTGTCCAGGCTATAGTTTGTTGTAGGGGTGGGGGGTGGTGGTGTGTGGGGTAGGCCTGGGCAGCATTTTGGCTGACTGACTGGTGCTTCCCCAGGACAGCTGCTCACAGACAGAGCCATTTCTTTTAACCCAGGCACTTTTTCCAGTTCAGCAGTCAAAATCTCTCCTTATGAGGCAACAGAAGCCTATTATTACTCTATTTTGGAAGCTAATCTTATCTGAAGTAATAAGCTAATTTCCTTAACTATATGCAAAACAGATTTAAAAGGACAGTACCAAGAACATTAATCTCAAGATCAATCTCTCATCTCTTTCACACACACTCCCTTCCATTATCTTCTGCAGTCTTTTTTTCTCCCTAGTTTTTAAACTGCATCAACGACTACAATAAATAATAGGAAAGCAGTTAATACTTCAAAAGCATGCCACAAAATACTACAAACACAATTTAATTTCCATTATTATTTGAATTTTGTGCAGAGGATTTGCACAGTGAAGTTTTCCACATATAATGATGAGTTGTTATAGTAGCGCACATATTCCTAGAAACCAAGTGTACTAATCCATCGTGCAGCTTTAGAAACTATCCCACTGCTAGGAACATGGTTTTGCAACTAAGCAGTAGATTCTCCTTTAAGAGGTACAAATGCAATCTCACCTAGAATATCCTGTAGCTAAGAGATACAGTCAACAAATCCACTTCCCAGGGCCCAAAGCATTACCCTGCCTCGTCCGCCCACCAGCACCACCCCTTATCTTTGCTTGCAATTAAGTTCCACATAGTTTTTCCTAAAGACGTGGTGTCTTTATTGGTACTTACTAAAAATCATTCAGGCTCCTGGAAGTTATCTGATCCCATTCTTACCCGCTACAGACCAGAGTTTCTGATAAAGGATGTATAATGCAGCCAGACTAGATACTTCAGCAGTTTTGACTATCCCAGCACTCCAGGGGAACATTTGCATGACACACTACTTGGATTTAGGTTCCAGTGGGAAAAGACGATTCCCACAAGAAATAAGCTGATTTCAGAGTTCAGTACTTAGACATGATCTATCCCAAGCACTATCATTGTGCTTGTAGTACGGAGATGAAAAAAAGCACATCTGCTGAGCTAAAGCACCAGGATCCACTCAGGAAATCGGCACAAGGAAATAGTTTGCCTTTATTGATATCATACAGACATCTGCAAAGTTCTAACACCTGGTGTAATCTTCAGTGCGTGCATTGACAAGAGCTCAGAAACAGCCTGTGGCAAAAAATAAAACCAAACAAAACAAAACAAAAAATCCTGAAGAGAGAGAACATACAGCACCTGTCCACTTTCTAACAAACTTTAGGGAGAAAAGAAAAACACCAACCAAAATCAGCCCAAAAAGAAAATCAAGAGACTTAAACTGACGAAATGAAGATTTCTTCTCTATAGGTGCCACTATGAAGTTACGACCAAGCTCCCCACTGCGCTACGAGGCAGTAAGGATTACAAGTGTTGCCGAAGAGAGGCCCCTGGCGACAGTTTAACCCCTTCCGCACAGATCTAAAAGGCACTCCGCACGCTCATTGTTTCGGGTAACGGGGGGCGCACGGCTAGGAACCATACCGGTGGCCAACCCCGCACAAACACGCGTCCTCCAGAGCGACGGGAACCCCGAAACGCTCCTTCAGGTTGCGGCCGGGGGCGCCTCACACCCACCCCGACGGGCC